AAAAAAAAAAAAAAAAAAAAAGAAAAAAAAAAAGAAAAGAAAAGTAAACTATATTCAGACAAAATAAAATTGTTGTTGTTCTATTTCTGATTGTGTGTGTTAATTTCAGCCCTCCAAACTCCATTGCTACTCATCTTGTTGCACCTTCTCAACTGGGTCTCTGTTCTTCCTTTTTGCATCCATCAGGGACCCTCATGACAGTCCCTTTTGTCAAATCAAACCTCTCTTTATCTCTGATTAAAGTGAATAGACATTGATTTTCTTCAATTTTTTTATGGAATTGTTGCTCTGTTTCTGTTCAACATCTTTCCCCTTTCTTAAACTTCCTCATATTCCTTCCTCTCCCTCTCAACATTCATGAAATTCACCTTCCCAAACCCAAACAGATTTAGAACTTAAAACAATATTAGAATCTTGACCGCATGCCCCACGATTTTCGAGCAAAATGATGAGGGCCCTAGCTTCTGTAATCTCTCTGACCTCTTTCTGTGCTAGTTTTAGTGTAACCCATTTGGATTATGTGTGTTTATGTTGCTCTCATTTGATGTTTTTTTTTTCTTGCGTGTGTTCTGTGGAGGTTTATGATCGTGAGGCTCTTCTTTTGAAGTTTGAAATTATATTTTCTGGGTTGCGATTATTTGCCACAAACAGAGTGAAATTGACTGTTATATTCATTTTTCAGAGTAGCTTTGTTACTGTTTTGATCTTTCAAATGGGTCCTTGTTGGTTTGGTCTGTTTGATTCTGATATCAGTTCATTAAGTTTCAGAATATTATACTACCAGAGTCGAAGAATAGATTGCGCCTCTGTACTTTCTTCGTTGCCGTTATCCTTGGTGCAGGAGTCTATTTCATTGCAAGTGAATTCATTACAAAGGTAGAAATTGAAGCATATCTTATCAAAGTTCTTATAGCTTCCTGTTTTGTGGTTATGACCGTTTGATGATGAAAGTCCCCACACCGGCTAATTTAGGGAATGATCATGAGTTTATAATCAAAGAATACTCTCTCCATTGGTGTGAGGCCTTTTGGGGAAGCCCAAAGCAAAGCCACGAGAGTCTATGCTCAAAGTGGACAATATCATACTATTGTGGATAGTCGTGTTCATCTAAAAATGACAATATCTTGGAGGTTAATGGGTTCGTGTTGGCCCTTGATTTCTTGCTGGTTAATTAAAAGTTCGAATTAAGGCCAGTTTCATTCAAACCTCACAACCCTTGCAGGAAATCTTTAGATGGGAGGTATTTTATTCCGCTCGAAATGTAATATCCAGCAGGTGCAAGGTTCGTCTAGTCTAACCATGTGTTGTTTTAGGGTTTCTCATTGAGTTTTGTTCGTGTTTGTTCGATACGTTTTCTTAATCTCCTTTCAATTGTGTCGTCTTATGTAGAATCAATGCAGGCCGCCCGGGAGTGAGTTTTTGCCGGAAGGAATCGTTAGTAAAACATCTAACTTTGAATTTCAGCCTCTATGGGGGTCGACTTTAAACAATGTAAGTAATGTGAAGATCGAAATGAGCTTTTCTTATTCGATATCTGATTATTATAAGAAGAATCGAAATTAAAGATCTCAGTTTCCATTATTTTTTAGTGATAATAATCCAACTTGGTTATTGTTTGAGGAGAAAGCTGATGATGGTCTATTATGCATCGTCCTTAACGAGTGCCAATAATATGTGTGCTAGAAAACGCCGAAGGTTTCGAAGAACTTGTTATCTATGGCTGTTGGAATCAATCAAAGACACATAGTGTCAAAGATTGTTGAAAAGGTTATGATTTGATGACCTTATCCTTCACTACATTCTTTTTAGTGATTCGATTGTTTGTTAACACGCGATTTTTCGTTTGCAGTTCCCTCGAGATGATTTTGATGTGCTGCTTTTTCATTATGATGGTGTTGTGGATGAATGGAAGGATTTTTCATGGAGTTCTCGTGCAGTACACGTCTCGTCTCTGAATCAAACTAAATGGTAGTGTTTATATACATTAGCTTTCTATTTTACCCGTTAAATTGGAGATATACTTGGAATTAAACGGTGTCATGGCGTAGGTGGTTTGCAAAGCGATTCTTGCATCCAGATATAGTTGCGGAGTATAATTACATATTTCTTTGGGACGAGGACCTCGGTGTTGAAAATTTTGACCCAAAACGGTAGGTGTGGTTTACTTTTCGTTATTGCGAAGTTCACGGTAATCTCTTTCCAATGTTCGATATTTGAATTTGATGTCCACATTTATGTGTCGATATCTTTTCTTCGTCTAAAACTATTTCAGATACATATCAATCCTTAAGGAGGAGGGGCTTGAGATATCACAACCAGCTCTTGATCCGGTTAAGTCCAAGGTGCACCAGGCTCTTACTGCACGTAAAACTGGCTCGAAAGTTCACAGGTCAGTTTTACACCAGCTCGAAAGTTCGAAAGTTCACAGCTCTTGATCCGGTAACGTTGACCAATTTTCTTAATTGTTTTTAAAACAGAAGGTTTTACAACTCCAAAGGCTCTGCACGGTGTGATGCTAATAGCACGGGTCCTCCATGCACGGGGTAAAAATTTACTGCAACAAAATAGGTTTTTCAAATTTTTCTACTGGTGTTACCTCAGATAAATATTTTAAAATTTGATGTAGATGGGTAGAAATGATGGCTCCTGTGTTCTCAAGAGCAGCATGGAGATGCACGTGGTATATGATTCAGGTAAATCAATAGGAATCCTATTGGAACGATATCGTTTTTTTCGTGAACGAGTTCAAAACGTCCTGCTTGAACGTCACTACTAATATTCAAAAGCTTACCCTATTTTTGTTTTTCCCTTTGCTTTACAGAATGATTTGATCCATGCATGGGGCTTGGACAGACAACTTGGCTATTGTGCACAAGTAATTTCCACACTTTATCATTACTTTTACTACGCTCGGAAGCTACCGTTTTCTTATAGCGTTGGTGAATATGAATTCTCTTCTAGGGTGACAGAACACAGAAAGTCGGTGTCGTCGATGCCGAATACATAGTTCATTTAGGTCTGCCTACGCTCGGTGCTTCCAATGGCAATGTGGTATGCCATGCTTGTTCTGATGCAATCTCTTCAAACTTTCATTACCAATTTTCACTAAGATGGCATTAGATTATCCGAAACGACACTAAACGACCCTCACATTTGCGCAGCTGAATGCCGATGCTCCAGCTCGTTCGCAGAAAAAAGAATTGTCAAACTTCAACGAATTGGTTTGTGTGCTGAAAATATTTCCTCAACTTTTATGTTCTTTATTCTTCAGCTAAGTGATTAACCAAGAATCACTTGAACTTCTGTCAAACTCCCCTCAAGCGTTTCCATTTTTTGCAGGAACACAAAGTTGATAATAGAGTTAAAGTAAGTCACGACAATTCATCCAAGTAGTGAACTTTTTTCGAGTATATGGTTCATTGGAGGTTTCCATTTGATCATGGTTTATATTATATCATGTGTAGGTGAGGATTCAATCTTCGTTAGAAATGCAGATTTTTAAAGAACGATGGACGAACGCTGCAAAGGAGGATAGATGTTGGATTGACCCGTATCGATAATTACCGACGTTCACGAATGCGATTACAATTGTTTTATATTCATTTTTATGAAATAAAACTGGGAAGTGAAGGTGTTTTAGTCTTCATTAACAGAGCGCAGCTTACTGTAAAAAGTTCATGTCCATATGTCTTACAAAGTTTGGTAAAAAGTTGGTGTTCTTGTCTTTTTTTTTTTTTTTGG